ACCGCTCACACGAACGACACTGGCACTGAGTGTTATCGCACTGATCGCTGCGGGTTGACCACTGTCGGAGAGCGATAAGGCAGAGCTACCTCGGGCACAAGCGTTCGCCTCGGCGGCTCGGAACGTACTGTGTAAAGATACCTGGCAAACGTGTGCGCGTAACGGACGCCATGCTGCGCAGATGCTTATATTGCGTTCACGCAGGAGGAACCCTTTTTGAACGCTTGTACAGCCCGTGTTACACGAGGTGAAAACACTGAATTTTGTCTGCATACGAAAATATTGTTTATTGTAATGTGTAATGTGTGTTGTGTATTGTAAATATTGTAATTGTTTAACTATCGTAAATTACACTAAAATAATCGTTTTTCTCTCTCATTTCACATTCGTTAGATAAGAAGGCATCAACAATAGGGAACAATATTTATTGTGGTAATTCGGGGTATGTTTTTTGCAAAAAATGATCAATAAAAAACTTGTTGTTTTCAAAATTTTGGATAGGGTTTACACTATTTCCTTTTGCACTCATGAATAACTTAGTGTACTCTTTTATCGGGTCCGGTATGAGCAACGAGAACTTAATCACTCTGTATGATTTACATACGTAGTTGTTTATTACAATTAATGCTGTCTGAACATTCATTTATTTTATAATGTAACAAATTATAATAGTAATTGTCACTAAATGTATCTATTTTGAAATCCGAGCGTCCTAGTATGACACAACTTCAATTTGCTTTCATAATGTGTTTGAAACAAATTAATTTCTATGACGTGCTGTATTGTGGATCCCTTACTTACGACCTGTTATCGTAGACATGAACTTAAGTCTCGATAGAGAATAAGTTTCACTTTGGAAATTAGTCAGTTATCAATAGAATCTACATGGAAAGGAATCTACATGCATCTTACGCGAAATAAACAATCATTATTGTGCCTTTGATAATATTTTAGAAAGGTTACCTTTTGAAAAGTGGGTAAGATAAAAACCGTTACGAACGTGAAAACAGGAGGTAGGAAGATTTTTTTTAAAAGGAAAACGTTTTGTGGTATACTATTTACAATAATACATACAATCATTATCAAGTCAGTAAATGTAAAAGCTGACAAAATGATCACATCACAGAATCACATAACTTCATAGGCACGTACAATAATAATACAATATTTCCTAATTGCTGAAAGTTTTGTAAGGGTGCAATATTTCATATTTATTCGGCATAGTGTTCAGGCGAAGATTTTGCAAGAGGATAAGTTACATAAATACATATTCAACAAATAATTGTTAAATTTTGTTCATTTCAGCTCCAAAAATACGCTATAACACGAATGACGTAACATCAAACATTGTTTCTTTGATATATGACTTATACGAGAATTCATCCTATAAGCTCATAGTACTGCGCGACAGATGCCCAAGGCTTTTCCCTCTTTGCTGTAATGAACATCGCAGACTTTCCGGTCTAATTTTCGACTTTGCAATAAGCCTTTCCTTCCAAATCAAACTCAACCTTTTAGATCTCTCAAAAACAGAGGACGGCTGTCAGAGAGAGTGAATGAACCTCTTTTGTTCTCTTTCTGTCCCCCCAAGCATGAAGCGTCTCTTTGTCGTCTCGTGTTTCCTAAAATTTACACTAACACGTCTACGTTCCAGTACTGGGGCCCGTAGAGTATCAATCTAGGTGAAAGGTTGCGCTTGGCGGCTTAAAAACAAGAAAGACGGAAGAAAGCATTGCACATCAGAAAATGTACTGATATACCGGAAAGCTTTGTGTTGCAAAAATATACAGTAGTATTTTAATATCCCTGTAGTATTACAAAGTTTTCGCGAATATTATTCGAATTCGTAAGTTCTAAAAGATGAATTTATAAGTAATATTAATGTGATTGAATAGTTTGTCGTTGTAAGGAAAATTCAACCAGAATAAATGTAAATGATTCTCAGTAACACTAGGCTTTTACATGCTAAAGCTAAGATGCTAAAGAGTTACATGCTAAAGAGTTTTGCATATTTTGTCAATTTTTTTGTAAAATTGTTTCTAACGAGATAATTATTTACAAATAAGAACTTTGTATTTTTAATAAACATATTATACATTTATTGAAAATATTTTGAATTTCATATGTTTACGTATCGGAGCAAACGATCTGTACCATCTGCCTCGCTAGAATGGTGCTGCAATAATATCAGAATATAAATTTGCAATAACATCAGAATGGCCAAGAATTTTTTCCTCTCATAGATGTGGACAATTAGAAGCTAACAACTTATCAATGTATTGGCAGTTCCTTGATGGGAAAGACTAGACTTAAATTTTATTTATTTATTTTAAAATAAGTATATAAACATTTGTATTCAAGGGAGTCCCATTGAGGAAGATAGAAGAACCTCCACATAAGGATCGTATTGACATACCCAGCGTGTGAAATATCTCGATCACTTCTTTGCGTTGTTGAAAACGGACTCGGCAGATGACAAATCTCACGTAAACCGCCACAACTGCAAAACCATGTTTAATGAAACCGAAAATTTAATTTGTATGTGGTAGTATTAAAAAGAAGGTCTGTAAAGTGTAATTTGTATTTTTAAGGAATGTATGTAGTATTTTGTTCAATGTATTATTGTTATAAATTTGTTTCATAGCCTGAAGATGAGAATGAATCACAATTGTCGAAACGTCGTGTATTTGAAGATTTAATTACAAATGAAAATGTAAAAATTTCATTTTTTTAATAAACCAACCAAAAAAAGGGGTCAGTAAAAGTTAAACAATAATACATGAAGTACGCAAGAACAAGCAATGAAACTCCTCAGCGGTTTAAACTTGAAGACTAGCGATTGACCTTTTCCGAACAGAGCGCGAGCCAACAGACGCAACCGTCATTTCCAACGCGTAGTCGTGTGAGAGGCATCGGGGTTCACCGCGCTGACTGACCTCTCTGCCTGTGACCGCGCTCCGGTCCGCGGAGTCCTCCGCCCCAGTGCACCGCGGGGGCAGCGAACAGAGCGCGCTGGTGTCGGTGAGCTGCGTCTCCCTACACCGCTCTCGTGCTGAGTCAGTGGCAACCGACCGCTCCCAGGTGCACCTGCCCGACGAAGCACCACCGGGGCGAAGCGGCAGTGGGGGTGGCGACGCTGGCGCGGGCTGGTGAGGGAAACGCAAGAAAATACTAGAAGAGGGAGAATATCAAACTAAAAGAAAGCAGTGCCTACTTTCTCGCCCGTACTTTCCCGCAAAAAGGACTCAAAGTTTTGAAAAATTGTACATGTACTTATTTAAAATCTATATTAAAGAAACATATTTCACTAAGATAAACAACTCAATTTTTATAAATGTAGCAGTAGAAAGACGCAAAAAATTGAACTTTTTGCATTTTTTGGAAATTCCGAGTTTCTAGCGCAAATGAGATGTGCACCATGCTCTGAAACGTTCTTCACACTAACCAACAACAAATTTAGCTCCAATCAATGGAGCCATTTTTTGAATAGGTAAAGTACCATTCAAAATGAAAATATTGGTTTCAAACTTGAGAAGCCAGATATCATTCAGATCAATTGGGGGATATCACTTTGGAGAAAATCAGTTGAACAGATTATGTAAAACTTATTAGAGATTTTTTCTGTATTTAGCAACTGGATTTATCAACTTTTTCGTTATCAGGATCAACACAGATACATCCAATGATTAAACATCCTCAACACTGTCGGGACTAATGACGATAGCACTAGATGTACCCGTAAGTTATGTGCTGCCCCTTACCCTAGAGCTAGAATTAATCTGCTCGCAAGAAGAAGACGAAGGAGGAGGAAGAGTACGAGGTGACATAAACTTTGTTCATTCTGGCTGAACAATGTCATTACACATTATTGATCCGCTTTTGTTGCATAAATAAACGAATACATATCACTAATTTTTGTGTGTGTACCTTGCGTGGGCGGTCTGTTGGGGGAGACTTGTTTGACATTTCTGTCACACCACAGTGACAGGTAGAATTATCATTTATTAAGACAGCATACGAGCGGGACATGGTTAATGCAGCACGCAGACATTGGCGGACATATTCTTTAGCTTCCTCCTTTCTAAAAACGCCTCTTCCAATTTGATGGTAAATCAGTTTCATAGCATTTATGCATCTTATGACATGGACATTGGTTCTGCGGCTCCCTTCTATACTGCAGTTATGTAGCTGCATCGAGTGCTTTTTTTCCATTGTCCATTCTTCCTTGAAACAAATTAAAATAAAATATTATATTATAAAATGGAGATGTTAACAGCTTGATAATTTAAAAGTTGCAGAACGTACTCACAATGCTTTGCTTGGTTCGCAACATTATTAATTTTTTAGGATTCTCTACGAATGTCTTTGAGTGTCAACATTAAACCATCCCAAATGCTTCCGCAAACATTATGTTGAAAACAAAATTTGATGATTTTCTTCTATGTTTTTAAAATTTTTACGTCTTTCGGCGTAACTCCTAAGTGTCTCCGTAATTTTTATCCTCCTTTTTTCCATCTTGTGGTTTTGGAAGTTGATTGTTCACTCAAAAATATGCGGTCAGTGTTTTAACACCATCGTGTTTACACACAGGCAAAATTGCCGACCTTCTCCAATCACTACCATTAGTATACACAACACAGAGTTGCTTTTTTATACTATCAACGTCCAATTTTTTTATAAACACATCTGGTTTTACAATCGATATTAAAACAATAACCAATTTTTTTTCATTGTTTTTTCTCAGTTTGAAATTGCTTAGTCTCAAATTGAAAGGGTTTGGTCTTAAAATGAATGTGTTAATTCTCAATATGTTGTTTTCTATCAATTTCATTATTTCTTTTCAACTTGAAGTTGAAAAGGAGTCGTATTATTTAATTCAGAGAATCCTCCACCTTTTACACACCTGGTCGAGAACATCGCGTTGTTGTCGGCCTACCTTTACGACAGGGTTGTGGACATGTCTTGCTTACCGGTCAGCCGAGCGAGAAATGAACTGAATTTCGAAGTGCGAGACAACTGTCTCCTGCCGTCTGCCTGGCAGAGCACCACCGGATGAAAGTGGAGGTGATTGTTGCGATGCCGGTGGTGCGGTTGGTGACATGAATAATGGAGCAATTAGACAAATATATTGTATTGGTTTGTGTTGCCTAGGAGACTAGCTAATCCGAGCGCCTCCGATGGAAAGTGCTTTCATGTTGACAATTTTCATCTGTGATATGTAAGTTCATATTAAAAAGAAATTTTAAAAACATTAATGTCGCAAGGTGCGTCTACCATAAAAAATAAAGGAGCATGAAAGAGTATTGATAGAAGTTATTTTTAAAATTCGTGTTTCATTATATTAGCGGGTATAACTTTGTAAATACAAAGAAAACATACCATCGATATTGTCAAGAAATAAAAATATAGAACTTGGAACGAGTATATTAACTTGTAAAAAATAAAACAGTTGAGCAGTGTAATCGGTTGGTATGGAGGCAAGTGCGTTTCGGAAAAGTCTGGTAACTGTTCATAAGAAATGGCCTGACGCCTGACGATTAAGTCGTGAAAATTTTCAAAGTGAAATTTTTGGTAGTATACCCAACGAATTGTAAGTTTGGCAAAATCTAGGGGAAAGTATTTGATATAAATAATCGGTGGTTCAAACATGCAGCACAAAATATGAGGGGAAGCGGAGCAGGTAACAACTTGCTGAATGATTTGCAAATTCAGAACTTACGAACAATATATTTTCATTGGAGAGAACTCAAGATGTTATATTAGGCAATACATCGAACGTGAGGTGAACGAACAGCGACGTTGGGTCAGTGGAAAGCAGTGGAAGCTTAACTCATTGGAAATAACTATAATTGCGGTCGCCTACGGAAACATACACTGTTTCATTACCGAAGTTCATAAGATACGTACGATACATAAGAACAGATATATCTTACGTATGTTTCCTCATTTGATTATTACAGGTCGTCACATACTACAAATGTTACCTCAAATGTTTCCCTCAAAATGAAATCCTAAATGTTCTCTGAAATGTACTCCTAGTGTATTGCTTCGCGGAGGAGCGCAGGCCCGATTACGCCTACAGAGAAAACTACGCCTTTCACTATTCATCTGATTCAGACTGATTTGCGCATCTAAAGTAATTTAACTTAAAAACTTTACTTATTTCTGCCCATTGGGAGATGAATACATTTTTTTATCGGGGTGTGGCCATTCCTACACAGCAAGAGAATTCGCATCATCCGTGCGAGCAATCTCTCGATCGAGGTTTATCGCTGTGACCCTCCTCGCTGTTTCCGATCGCGCGTAACGCACCAGTCCACGCTGCGCTGTGCTCCGTTGGCGACCCGCCCTCTCCGTCTCCCCGCTGAGTGAGTGCTAGACGAGCGCACCTGCCCGCCGGAACAACACCGGGTCAAAGCGATCCACCGGCGAGGGCGGGGAGGTTGGCAGCAGTGCGTTTGCGGCGAGAATTAGCGCGCTGAATTGTGGGCGCGTCGCGACGCGGACGAGCGCCTCTTACGTCACCGCCAGGGCGTCGGGGCGGGTCTCGACCTGGCGCGGCGTCGGTCGCGCCGCCTCGCCTGGCGTCGTGTCGCGTCGCGTCGCTCCGTGTGCCCGACGCGGCGTGATGAAGCCCCTTGACAACGAGGGTTATGCAACCCGCGGAGCGCTGCTGTGCAACGGGTTGCGTCCGGCTCGCTGCGTCGTGCATGAAGGGAACAGGGTGGAGTAGTGGATACGAATGGCGGACTAACGAACTGTCGGCCGAGGGGGGGGGGATTAGCAGACCGAGGGAGAGGAATGCACCGCGGGTGGTCCATCCGAGCTGAATGCATTATCACTCCAGGTCATGCTCCCTTCCAACTAAACTTTTACTTCCACTATGCATTTCTTTGCCCATTCTCAGAATTGTGGCATCTCTACGTCATAGTGACAATCAGAAAATGAGCGGGGTGGCATGGTATTAATTTATGTGTATTCGTAGAAATTTATATTTTAATACCTTACATTAACTGTGAATAATATTCTTATACAGCTTGACGATAAAATACTTATAAAACACCTGAATATGCTAAAATTGATTTCTTCAATTTGATTATGAGATGTGATTCATTGAAGTTTTAAACGTAGATTATGAACACTTGAGAATAAAAACGGACAACTGAGCACGTTTCTAGACATTTTAATAATAAATTATTTTGTGTTCAATGAAAGTCCAGGGTATAGAATAGAAACATTAATACCGTGATTATGTCCAACCATCGTGCTTATAGTAACATATCGTTGTTAGTTATATGAATTCTGATGTATTTTTTCAATGTATTGATGCATTAAAACAAGAAATGTGTTTGGCTTATATTTCAGATATCGAAAAGCATTAACGTTTTAATCAAATATTCAGTGAAAACTCATTTGAAGTTGAAAACAGTATGACAATTAAATTTTAAGGCATAATTTGAATTATCGACGATAATTAAATTAAAAACGATAGAGCCATAGTTTTTGAAAATATCCCAAGGGTTTGATATAAAGTACTCCAAAAATTAAAATATCGGCTTCAAATTCAAGGTGACTGGACATCAGCCAGATCAATTTGAGAATCATTACTTTGGAGAAAATAGATTGAACGGTTGGCCCGTAGCGTGTTCACTGATGGACGGACGGACGGACAGACAGACAGACGTTTAAAGTCATTCGATTTTTCGGTACCAA